GCTCCGCCGGCCGGCCGGAGCTCTGCGTTGCGGCCTGGGGCTCCTGGACGGGCGGCTCGGCGCTGAGCAAGCTGCTCAAGGGCGTACGAACCAACACGGTACTCGTGAGGGTAGAAGGGAAGGTGCCTGAACGTGCCCGTGGTTTCCGGAGGCCCCGGCTGCAAGGCGAAAGCCATGCCTTGTGTCACGAAAAGGAGACGGGCGTCTCTTGGTGTCGACATCGCGGGAGTGCTGTTTGCCCAGGCGGCCTGGGCAGCGCTGGGGGTGGGAGAGAACGAAGGGTCCCTTCTTTTGCGCTTGTAACTTCGCTCGTATTTGTGGACCTGTGAATTGCAGACTGGTGTTGGAAGAAGAAAAGAAGCACCTAGGGGCTGACGCAGCGGCATCGAATGTGCCAGAGCTGGAAGGCTTTCAGGTCCCGTGAGCAGTGAGAATCAGCTCTCACCCGTAGAAAAGGCCCAATTTCAGGCAGTAATTCCTGTAGTAAGCGTCGTGGTTGATGGTTTGTCTGTAGCTCGACCGTAAGGAAGACATGCCAGAGTTCGCTTGTGCAACTTCTGTCCTTTAGTTACTGTTTCTGCAAAGGCACAAAAGTGTGTGCGAGCTATTTCAAATGCAATGTGGAGAGTGTTCACTTTCGTGCACTGAATAGAACGAACACAGTCTCAGAAGTGATGCAGAAGGCATAGTTCGGTAAATGTAGCTAGAATTACACTATGTATTGCGCTTTTGACGGCTTTTTCTTCAGTGCCCTGCATGCAAGATCCAGATAAAAAAACGCACGTGTCACGAGCCTGTCCTTTTAAATATTTTCAAAGTTATGCCCCGAATTATGGGGAAAACATGACAGCAAAAACAACATTAGCAACTTTATTTGAGAAAACATAATTAACTGGGCAAAGTTCATATGTTAGTTATTTTTTGTTTAAATTATGATGGTGCCTCAGGGGAAGGAGGAAGATGGGTGGGAACGTTTATTGCTTTAGTAAAAGGCAAAGGACAAACAGAGAATAGGAATAGGAGCCCAGGAGCATGGAGTTCAGTGTCTGAGCCAAAATACACCTGCATGAGTGTTGTATGTAATGGTGAGAGCTTAGTAAGCATTCAGAAATCAAGACTTTTAGGGGCATTTTTAATCAGGAAGAAATCAGCACTTACTGAATTATATCTTGCCTTGCCGACGGAGAAGAAGTTTACCAGGTGTTCTCTCTTTTTCTAGTGCTAGCTTAACTAAAACACTGCTTTACTTCAGCTGTCACAGTTCTGGTGACTAGGATAATTTTTGATGACTACTAGGCTTCCTAAAAATAGAGGCTGATGTTAGTACTAAAAACAGTTCCTGTTTTCTGGCGTGGCAGAATTAATGGGAATTAATTCTGTAAGCTTTCCCAGCACAGATGTAGTCTCTGATTGCTTCTGTGCCGTGGCTCATTCTCTACAGTGACCCTGTTGCTTCAGCCTATCTGTTGCTATTTTCACTTGAATTCTGAGCAGATTTTCTATGCCTTCTTTATTTTTCCCTTCATTCTGATTTTTCTTCTGTTCTGTTTTCTTCAGTCTGTGAGTGCTACGTTTCATCTGCTGTCTGTGTTTGCTAGCGTTACAGAACACCACTGTCTATTCACTGCTGGGTGTGCTATGGAAGGTGGTGGTGTGAAATAAAAAGTTTTGGGAAGGAAAAGAAAAGGACAGGCAGTCTATGAGGGGGAGAGAACAGATCATCTGGCAGCTGCTTGTTGGCTTGCAGGAGAATGGAGATAAACCTGCACATCCTGGTGTGACCTTTCCGCTGTGCAGGCTGAAAATCCCAGTCCCTAATCTCCATGTGCTTTTGCTTTTAAATTAAATAGTCCTAACCTCTTGAGTGTCTCCTTAAGATTGGCCAACCTCAAATAGCTACCCCTGATCACTTTCACTCGCCTGCTCTGAGCTGTTTGTATTCCTCCCTTGAGGAGAGATGAAAACACTGGATTACACCAAGATCTGTTTTGTGGTGTCTTGGAGTCACATTATTGGTGTAAATACAGTTTTCTAGGCACTGAGACGAACACATCCGAGATATAAATACAGATTTTCCTGACTGTGAACTACTTGTAAGGGAACTTCTGGCAAGCAAAAAGTGGCTTTCTTTGTGTAGAAGAGGCATGGGAAGATGTGGATGCTCCTCCGATATTACTATTTTGAAAATACTAATAGGTTAAGAGAATCTTTCATAGACTCAGGATGAAGTTTTTCAGTATCTATAGTTAAATCTTTTTTAGAATGTGGTGGCATAGTGTACGTTTAAGTATTCTTGACAATTTAGAGTCTTCTGGTGAGGAGAAATGGTATAATGTTTAAATGCTGTTTAACTCTTTGTGCATCTCAGTATGTGGTGGTTGATTTTTTTTTTTTCCATTTTATTTTCTTTCTGTAATGCGTTCCTGCAGACAGAATGAAGGAAAAAAAATACCATCTTCACTCACTTGAATTTGACTCGTAAGAATTCTTTACATACTGTTCAGTTTGCATGCAGACAGTCGTTACAGGGGTCGCTTGTGTTTTTGTCAGATTTTAAGCAGGTGTAAAATGGTGTCCTTAGCTAGGAGATTCCATCAGTGGTTCTCTTAAATAACTAAGGTATTGGGGGGGTAAAGTCTGAAGTTTTGTTCAAACGCGTTAGCGGTCTGTGAGCAAAGAAGTTTGTTGTGGGATTCGTTATTGGTGTTCGAGTGATTGAAGTGCTTGAGTGTTGGAGATGCTAAGTTACGTTATACTGTTTTGCCATCGGAGTGATTTGTTGTGTACATGTAGGATGGGCTAAGACTCAAGTCGGTGTGGATTTTAGGCAGGTCAAGGGAGGTGAGGCTTACAGGTACCTTATTCCACTTCAACCCTAATTCACCTTCTTGTTTTATTAGAAGGGGTAGTTGTAAATATCTCTAGGGACGTGTTATAAAGCTGCATTAAGCTAGCATTAGCTTCTTAACGTATTAGTATTTATCGTCTTGTAGTATTAGTGTCTCAAAGGTGATGAAAGTACTGCCCTTAAAATATATGCCATATAAAGAGTAATATAGACACTGTGTCTGCTTACTGCAAAAGTATCAGGCAAAATACTGAAGCATCTTCTAATTTCTAAAACCGAAAAAAGCTTATCATGCTGCCAGAATGTTCTGAGAAAAGTAAAGTCACAGTGGTTACAAGCTTCACTGATAGTCTGTTTCCGTGTCCAAATTTCCACAGACTTGCCTTTGGCCTTTTGATTTCTAGTTGCCTTAGTACCTTTCCAGGGAACATAAATGTCATATAACACTTCACATGCTTTTTTCCAAGTGAGACCTTCAACTGTTCTTCCTCATCACTCCTACAGTTCATTTTAGTGTCCATTAAGCACTACGGCCAGTGTTTTCTCCTCTCCCACAAATGAGTGCACTGAGTGTATTTGTCTTGCGTACAGGGAATGTTCTGTGTGGGGACACAGTGGAATCCCATGTTTCTGGCTGTGAGGAGTGAGGTGTGCCTGATGCAGACTTTGTGTTGCCTGCACTTTTGTCTTGTTAGGTATATGGCACTGACTACTAAGCCTTAATTTCTGGAGGGATTAGTGTATACTTTCTGTCTGTAAAGCCTGATTTCCTCAGGACTGTGGACCAGATATTAGTGATGTGGTTCCACTGGCTGCAGTGGAGTTACCGGGGAGGAGCTCCAGCTGGTCTGTGTTAAAGGCCATGCAGCAAAGCCTTTCAAGGCTTCAGTGCGTGTGGTACCATGACATATGTCATGAATTATCAGACTAGTTCAAAATACTGAAAAAGGTGCTCTGTGTGTAACATTCCTTTAGAAATTGAGGGTTTCTGAGTTTCCAGGAGTGAGAAATGGCAGTATCTGCGCTCACAAGGGTCCACAGAACTTGTCAGGGATTCAGCGGCAGTTTCTCTTTGTGGTAGCTACCTCTCTCTCCTTACAAGGTAACAGAGGAAGCAGCTTACATGCCAGGTATTTTACAGGGCGTCTGCTTGGAGCTGCTTTCTGGGGAATGTTAGGTTTTTTTCTCGCAGCAGGTGATTAGTGGGCATGGTGTGGGTACCACAGCCAGAGATCCCTGGCCCAAAGCTGTGGGAGGGGAAGGAACGCACAGGCATTGTTGGTGAGTTCTGACATCCTATGCGTGCGTAGAAGGTAAATGGGAAACTGTCATCTTTGATGCAACTGAAGCTTCACAATGGTAGGTAATAGATGTTTTCAGATCCTGCAAATAACGTGTGGTGTTTACAGAACAAAATACACAGTCGTTTCTTCAAAATGACAGGTCCTTAAGTGACTCAAGGCTTTTTGGTGAATGAAGTCACTGATCCGTGTGCAGGAAGACTTAGGTAAATAGTCTGGTCATGCTGGTGGGGTGTCGAAGGGTCAGTTGTGAGTTGCTTTACCTGTCAGGGGCTATACATTCCTACATTAGATGGGCTAATTCATAGCACTGATCTGTGCTGTCTGGAGAACAGTCCCATCTGAAATGCTAATTGCTTGCTCTGTGTTCTCCAAAGTGCTGTTCTCCTCCTTTATGTAGGTTAAATTACTATTCCTCTGCAATTGCTCAGCAGAGGACTCAGTTATCTCTGCCTCCATTTTCTCAGGTGGTAATCGAAGTATAAGGTTGATTTTGTGTGCAAGAGGTTGTAACTAATTGCTGCATATTTTCTTTTAAAATGGGACTTGTGAAAGAATCCTCCTTTCTCAGCAACTTAAGAACAATTTTCTGTTTGGGATGAAATCAGTAAGACAGGAAGGTTAAAACTCTTTGTGTACTGCTGGATGGTAAGATACTAACTAAACAATAGTAAATTCAAATTATCTTCAATACAGAGTGACTTTATTGGGTCATCAGAACTGGGCCATCCACCCACAACCAAAATTTTGTTTCTGACTTTTGCTTGTTGTCAACTGATACCAGTTGATTCAGACTTCTGTTTCTTAATTACTGTACATTCCAGTGCACTTCTGCCCTAAAGGCTTATTCATCACTGCAGTGATAGTATTACCTAGCTTAGTATTATTGACATGGGGAACATTATAAGATTGTAATGAAAAATAATATAATCAAATCATAAATAGTATCGAGAATAAATGGAATACTTCAAAAATTTTTCTGGGACTTCACCAATGGTTGGTTTGTCCCATAAAGAGATGGGTTTGCACAAGAGTTTGCTGGGATTCAAACTGCATATGGGCTCAGGCAGTGGTATAAGCCCTGCCTTTATGTAGTCTGCAAACAGTAGAGAGGCAAAAGAGATCGAGTCTGACTCAGAGCAGGTGATGCCTCTCTGTTTTAAATAATATTTTCTCAAACTGTTTTTAAGTTGGATAAAATTCTTTTGCGATTAATACAAAATTATTAGTGTCTTTGAGTCAGCCTTATTCTGTGTGTTTCTAAAAGGGTAATTGATACTGTTGCAGTGTCTAGTCTGGAGCCTTCAAATGGATCGTTTGGTCTATTGGTGGAATGGCGTGGGGGAACCTTATGTTATAAAACTGTGGCAGAGGAGCAGATATGGTATCCCACAGGATTAATTTTTTTGTCATGTGTCTGTGAGAAATACCATCCTCATTTATGTTATGAAAACCTAACGTTTGTATGACCAGTTTAAATCATTGCTGCAGCCAAAGGCACTTCCACTTTTGCTTCCCACATCCTGCAGTGATTTGCACTACAGCAAAAAGCTGTGGTTGGCTATACTCTGGATTCTGTCCAAACACAAGAAGAGTGAGGGCGAAGAGGGTCTGAGCATGGAAGGAAAGACACAAGTAAGAGTGGACCTGTCACTTCTGGCAGAAATGTTATCTTATTCCCACTGGAAGAAAAGTGGCATAAGTTAATGCCTTAATACAGCAATGACAGCTCGTGTAAATGTGTTGGCTTGCCCACATTTGTTGTACCTGAGAGGAGGTTGTTAGATTTACTGTACGGGTTGAGGTTGATGATTCCTTTTGGTTGAATCTGTTTTGCCATCTATCATCAGAAAATCAGAGTAGGTGGAGATTTGAAAAAGTCAAGTGACATTTTTAATTCATAGAAAGTATTGGGCACACATTTTGAACAGAGCTTGTTAAACCTCCCTAGGCAGCTATGCTCTGTTAGGCAGAATGCAAAATAAAGGCAGAATTTACCCAAGCTCTGCAAAAGCCAGATGTAAACTCCAGCATTCTTTGTCTTCTGGTTCTTAACGACCATACTGCTGTTTTGCCCTGATTTAGGCTATACAAGCCGTATCTTTTTTATTCACATTTTGCTGTCTTTGTTTTAAGAATAGCTTAACTGATTTTCATTATGCAGTAAGTATGAAAAAATGTATAATAGTTATTTTCTTTTTTTGTCCTAGCATTGATATGCTAATATCTTCTGATAAAGAAAAGGACCCAGATGTTATTCCTGAAGACAGCAGCCTGCTGACTCTTCGGTATGTCATTACGGTATACTCACAGTACCCTGATACAGGGTGGGGTGGAAAACAAGCAGAAGAGCATGGCTGGCTGCTTGTTCCCTCTCCAGGCAATGGTGTACTTTCTGAAGCAGTGTCCAGAAATACTCTCATAGGCAGAAACATCAGCCTATGATAGGGTAATTGATATGAGCCTTCTGCTTGAATGTTACTTAGGAGTTTTTTATGAAGATATACAGAATATGCCATCTTTCTTATTGGAAGAACGTAGGATTTCTGGACATAGGTACTCTGAACTAAATTTGTGCGTGAATTTGGAGTGTGCAGGGGACTTCTCATAATCATGTGCAGGAGCTTTCTCCAAAGCCTTGTGAGATAAATCTGTAGCCCTTACCTCTGGTAACCTGCAGTCACATTGTAACAGCCAAAGTGTAAGTACTGGAGTTGTAGTCAGATACCTCTTTCTCTGAACCCACACTTTACAGAATTACTTGATAAGAATTCATTGATACTACTGGTGCATTTCCGAGGTTGAGCAATATATGTTAAGTTTCTGTCAGTCAGCGAACTTTGAACTCACACTTCGCCAGTTCAGGCCTTTGCTGTACTTGAATTTCAGTTTGCATAGTACTAGTGTACAGAAATGTGTTAAGGTTGTGATCAATGTTAAGTTTGATTGTTATTGAAAACCTTCAGGAAGTTCTGGAGGGTAAATAGACTTGTTCTGGAAGTTAAAATGTTTTGGTGTTCATGCAGTGGTTAAATACATGTATTTTTGTAGCTATTTTATGTGTGATACTTTTTCTTCTACAAATGATACTGAAGTTTTTTTAGACAAGTGTCTATGTCATGGAGTTGAGAGTACTTGTGGGTTTTTTCTTTTTTTTTTTTTCTTGAACATGAATTGAATTTCTCTGAAGTGGAAGGATAGGTGAAACAGCTTCCTCAAAGGCAGCAAAGTCTTCTTTCTAGGAGAGCCTTTTCAGACAACGTTTTGTTGTTTTTTTTCTGGTAAGTATAAAACTGCTGACAAACAACCTGTGGTTTGTACATAAGGGGAAAGAAAAACATAAGCTGAAATCCACAAGCCGGCCTGTGTACTATCAGATTTTATGGGAGTCGAGAGACAAGAGTATTGTAAGTTAGTCTGTCATACTAAGACAGCCACAAGTCTTTCTGTTTTAAAGCTGCACTGTAGTAGCTTGTGTCATTTAAAAATATATCTAGGGATTCTGCATGGAAGTTGTTGAATCAGATTTTGTCTTGTGTTCCTGCCCCTCAGGATTAGAAAGAAGGCGTTACAGAGGAGAGAAGAAACAATTATTGTGGATCGGGCTTGCAGACAAGAAACTCTTGCTTATGAGATGGTAGGTTCCCTGTCATCTCGTAGGATCTCTAGACAGTTCAGCACAGCTCAAATCCAACTTCTGGATGCTTTTTTTTATCACTATGAATCTCTGTACACTTTAAATGTTTGCAGATATGAGTATGCAAGTAATGATTAAGGTTAAAGACATTTTATAGAAGGATAAGACAGGAACTCTGCTTTTACAGTCTATTAGTACCAAATGTAGTAAGGAGGAACTCCAGCTAATGATCACTGTATGACTGCTTTTATTTGGTTGCTACTAAAGTATTGTGAGGGGGATCAAGTGTGAACTTACTGTAGAGCTAGACAAAATGCATAAAGTTTTTACTCCTGGAGTCTGCTGTTGGACTCTAAGCTTTAATGTGTAAATGATGTGAGCTAGTTTTTGTAGGGCTGAACAAGGAAGACAGTAAGAGTATGGTGGCAGTAAGTTCCTGATTCTCAGCTTTGTAACCAAGTTTCTCAGCCATTTTGAGCTGAGATCAGCTGTGGTGTGGTGAGCAGCCCCTCAAAAGCCATCTTGGAATTCCTGTAACTAGCTGTAGTACATCTTTTTTTTAAGATTTCTTTGCAACCATTGAAGTCCTAAACAGAAAGACTTAAGTTCTTAAATTTCGCAGTGCTGAAGTCCATGGCTTCAGAAAGCAAGCCATGAACTACTGTAAAAATTAGGGATGGAGGTGTAGTGAGGAAGGAGCCTCACTTGTGACTGTTAAAAATTTTTTTCCCTAGAGGTTTCCTGGGCTGTCGTAAGTGATCTTGTTTCAACTGTCCAGAGGCCCAGGCACATGATGTAAACATCATGCATCAGCTGAGAAGCAACAACTGTGTTGGGTTCTTAGCCTAGGGCATATCTGAGAAAATGCTTGCAATAGCAGTCTGCATAAAGGATTTCAATGACTGGTGTCTTACGTCTGTTTCTGAAGAACGAGCATGTGGTCAGTTACTGTGTCCCTTAAGCAAGCTGTAGTAACTGTTTTTTTTGTCAGGGGGTTGTGACCATGGTGTCCTAGCACAGGAAGAGAGCAATAAGAAATGTGAATCTGAAATGTGTTGCATGAAGAAGGGAGAAGCAAGGGATAGAAGTGTCTCTGAACTGAAGTCTTGCAGCAGTACATGCTCCTGTTATTAAATCAGAAGAACACTTCATGCTGGTGGGAAGTGTTTGTGCAGTCAGTATTCTCTCTTAATTTGTTGAAAAAGGAGGAAGCTGACTGCCACGGAAAAGTGCCCTCCCTCATTCTCACAGCTGGGCTATGTCTTTAACACAAAGTAGGATGAAGTGAGGAAATGCTTTCACTGCTCTTGCCACGCTACTATGTTTTAGAAAAGCAGTACTGGGTTTTGGCTTTGGAGTTTGGAGAAATTGAGACCACCAGCTATGCCAAGCTTCACTAACTAGAGGAAGTGTTTTTCATATACTTCATCCTGTGGATAGTTTCTAGATTGGTCTTTCTGAAGTTGAGGGCTGCAATTCTCCTTTACATGCAAAAGCATTCAAAGAGCATTTGAAGGCATTAAGTGATGGTAGCAGCTGGGTTCCATGAGAGCAGCAGAGTGGCAGCAGGCTTTAGTTCTTTTATGCAGGGCCTCTTGGTAGCCAAGGAGTAGCCAGCTATCTCATAATTGCTGAAAGCACCACAGCTTCTCTGGAGCTAAGGAATGAAGGAAAACACTTGAAATCAGCAAGTACGGCAGTTTCTTGCCTTTCCATCATGGAGGAAGTAAGCTGTTATCTATTCAGAAGGCTACACAGTCAAAAACAAGTTCCAGGGGCTATGATATGTAAATGATTGCCAATATAGAATTTACGTATCAGTATCTGTTTTCTCAGGAGTCGCATGCAGTTGGAAAAAGGCCAGACAATGTAATGGATCTAGTTGAGGAGGGAGAACTACTTTTAACTCTGAACATCTTCTATCCTGTCATATTTCAGAAGGTTGGTACTAAATTCTCTAGGTGGTATTCTGAAGTCTCTTCCCTACTCAGGTAATGTCTTGCTTTCCCTAGCAGTTAAGATCAGTGAGTCCAGTGGGGGACCGTGGTAAACCAACTGTGGTAACTTCTTAAGGATGTTTCAGAATCTGGCTGTCATTTTGTTAGTGGTTTACAGAAGGAATTTTTTACAGTAATTACTCAGGAATTAATTAATTTCACAGGAAGCTCAAAATCTGAAACTAAGTACGTGAAAACTAGAGTACTCTTTCTGGATTTGGAATAAGTGTACTCAGACTTTCTGTCTTTTCTGAACTTTCCAGTGGGGAATATGACTTTTGAGTTTATGAATAAAATTAATAAATGGCAGCCTTAGGAGGGGCTTAGGCAAGATGCTGTTTAAAACTTTGTACATCGAGGTGATGTGCCATATGCTGTCATTAATGACCTCAAGCTGTCAACTGAAGAGCAGTACTGATCCTGACAAGTGATTTTTATTTAAAGCTTGTGTGCTGTTTTCTTTGTAGCATAAAGACCACAAACCTTACCAGACAGTCCTTGTCCTGGGAAGCCAGAAGCTCACTGAGCTGAGAGACTCCATTTCCTGTGTCAGTGACTTCCAGATAGGTGGTGAGTTCAGCAGTCAGCCAGATCAAGCACCAGAGCACATCAGCAAGGTAAAACTTTCTATGTGGAAACTTCTGCGTGTGTAGGAGCTTTGAACACATACAGGAGAGAGGGAGGCAGAGTTTTGTTTTGTGGTTTTTAGTTTAGCACTAAATTCAGCTGCATTTGTTCTGCCCTTGGTTTGAACTGCAAGCAAATACTTCCTGGTGCCATTGCCAAGCTGACCTGTTTTGTGCGATGTCGAGAAAAACATCATTAGTGCTACCACTGGGAAGTAGTCACACTAGCAGCGAGTTCCTGCATAGATGTATCCCTGCAGACTGACTTTACTTTGAACTATATTCGAAAACACCAGAGGTAATAGAAAGCTAAATGTAGACCATGCCCTTCTGAAGTGCTTTGGTGTTTGCAACTGGGTGCTGATGAGAAGTAGGAATGAAGATTATTCCACTCTCCCACAATTGCCAAGTGTTCTCTAGGAATGTGCAAAAGGGGTCAGTAAAGAAGTACTCTAACTGCAAATACTGAAACTGCTTCATTTTGATAATATATGGTATTACATATAATATATATCATATCACAGGCTGGTTGAGGTTGGAAGGGACCTCTGCAGGTCATCTGGTCCAACTCCTCTGCTCAAGCAAGGCCACCTACAGCCGATTGTTCAGGACCATGTCCAGATAGCTTTTGGATATCTCCAAGCGTGGAGATTCCACAACTCCGCAGAGCAGCCTACTTGCCAGTGCTTGGTCACCCTCACAATGAAAAGTGTTTCCTGATGCTCAGAGGGAACCTCCTGTGTTTCAGTTTGTGCCCGTTGCCTCTTGTCCTGTTACCGGGCTCCACTGAAAAGAGCCTGGCTCTGTCGCCTTTGCACCCTCCCCAGAGGTATTTGTATATGTTAATAAGTTACCCCATTGTCTTGGTTTCTTGAACCATTGCTTCTCCAGACTGAGCAGTCCCAGCTTTCTCAGCCTCTCCTCACAGAAGAGGTGCTCCAGTCTCTTCATCTTCTTGGCCCTTATGGGACTCTCTCTGCACTATTTCCATGTCTCTGTTGTACTGAGCAGCTCAAAAATGGACACAGGATTCCAGGTGTGGCCTCACTGGTGCTGAGGAGAGGGAAAGGATCACCTCTCTCCACTTTTGTCTAATGCAGTGAAGAATCCCGTTCGCCTTCTCTGCTGCAAGGGCAGATTGTTGGCTCATGGGCAACTGGGTTTCCACCAGGACCCCCAGGTCCTTCTTTGCCAAGGTGCTTTCCAGCCAAGGAGCCCCCAACACATAGTGGTGTGTGGGGTTGTTCCTCCTCAGGTGCAGGACCTGACACTTCTACTTACTGAGCTTCATGAGGTTCCTGCTAGCCTATTTCTCCAGCCTGTCAAGGTCCCTGTGGATGGAAGCTTAGTCATCCAGTGTATCAGCTGCTCCTCCCAGTTCTGTGTCACCTGTGAACTTGCTGAGGGTACACTGTGCCTCATCACTTAGATCATTAATTAAAATGTTGAACAGGGGTGGACCCTGTATTGACTGCTGAGGTACTCTTGCTAGTTACTGGCCTCCGAGTAGACTTTGTTCCACTGATTGTCACCCTTAGGGCCCAGCTGTTCTGCCAATATTATATATTAATCGTGGTATGTAATCAATATAGTATGAATCAAATAATATGATATACAGTCTGAGAGAAACCAGAGGATGTTATATATTTGTATGCCACATTCTTGTTCAAGGAGACTGAAAGACATCATAGATACTAGTCTTTTCATTTATGTAAAGTAAATGGAAGAGTCTTTTTACCACTATCATAGAATCATAGAACGGCTTGGGTTGAAAGGGACCTTAAAGATCATCTAGTTCCAACCCCCCTGCTATGAGCGGGGACACCTCCCACTAGACCAGGTTGCTCAAAGCCGTATCCAGCCTGGTCTTGAAAGCTTCAAGGGAGGGGGTAG